CTAAACTTTTAGACGATGAATTCATTCGCCCAAGTACTTCACCCTACTCTTCTCCCGTATGGATTGTTCCTAAAAAATTAGATGCTTCTATTATTAAAAAATACCGCCTGGTTATTAACTTCCGAAAAAACGACGTCACTATTGAAGATAAATATCCTGTCCCCCGAACAAAAGAAATTCTAGAAAATCTTGGAAAAGCAAAATACTTTTTGACCCTTGACTTAGCACAAGGATTTCATCAGATCCCCATGGATCCACGTTCTGTTGAAAAGACAGCCCTTACAGTTGAAAACGGCCACAATATGTTCGTATGCCTTTTGGTCTAAAAAACGCCCCTGCCACATTTCAAAGAATGATGAATACTGTCCTCTTACCTTTTATTGGAAAATTTTGTTTTGTGTATCTTGACGATATAATTATTTTCTCAAAGTCCTTACAAGATCATATAGTTCATTTAAAACACATTTTTCAGACACTTATTTCCTATAATTTAAAAATCCAATAGACAAAACTGAATTTCTACGAAAAGATGTACCCTTCCTAAGCCACATTATTACTCCAGATGGTATTAAACCCGATCCGGATAAGATTAAGGCTATTAAACAATTTCCTCTTCCAAGAACTCTTAAACAAATTCAGTCATTTCTCGGTTTAGCTAATTACTACAGAAAATTCATTATAGACTTTGCTTCTCTCACCAAACCTTTGACAAAATGTCGAAAGAAAGCAGAAAGGATTCCCGTTGATTCAAATGAATACATTTCTGCATTTCATTCTATGAAAAAAGTACTTTGTATTCCCCCAGTTCTTAGTTATCCAGATTATTCTAAACCTTTTACGGTCACAACCGACGCTTCAAATATTGCCCTTGGTTCTGTCCTATCTCAAAACGGAAAACCTTTCGCTTTTCATTCTAGAACATTAAATTCTGCAGAACGTAATTATTCCACAATTGAAAAAGAACTTGTATCCATTGTCGACTCTTGCAAACACTTCAGACCCTATCTTTTTGGTAATGCATTTACCATCGAAACAGACCATAAACCACTTGTTTGGATATCCAATCTCAAAGAGCCTAATCAAAGATTAGCTCGCTGGCGTTTAAAATTAGAAGAATATAATTACAAAATAAACTACAAAAAAGGAAAAGAAAATCATGTCGCTGACGCCTTAAGTCGCATTGAAATTAATCATAATTCCGATGCTCTCGCTCCCAACACGTCCGAATATCCTATGGAAATTGATGCTCGTTCTACAGACACACAACATTCTTCACCTGAGTCTCATCCCAATACAATTTTTATTAGCGAATAGAATTTATCTTAGGTTTCCGTAATAATTTCAGATATCTTGACGAAGAACGATTCGTTAATATCACTGATCCCAATCAAGAATCCTTTATTATCGATTTTATTAAATCCAAATGTAAACTCACATTCCGATATGGAATCTGGTATCAGGAACCATTCTTCTTGTCCCTACTTAGTCGAATTCTAAAGAATCATTTTTCTACAGCCCAGATTAAATTCGAGAAAGCTGCATTCAAACCAGAATAGCTTGCTTGAAAGTCATCAGAAAACTATCACGTATTGCAAATCTCTTCAAGAAACTTTTGAAAATAATACTAGAAGAATTCAGTCAATTATTATTCATAATGTCCAAACTATTGAACATCAGTCTTTGTTATCACACCAGACGATCCATCAGATCTCAATTAATACAAATTTGCAACGATTTAATTCATATCTAAATTCACTTTTATTAGTTCTACAATTGAACCAGCAAACAGGTTTCAACATCTTACAATTATCTCATCACCAGATTACCTTACTTACTGAACATTTAAAATCCATTTATAAAGACGAAGAATCATTGCCATTCGACAAAATACATTTATTTGAGATTTATGATCTTTCCCTTTTATCACTTATACTTTTAGAAAACCAACTTATTTTTGTAGTTGAGTTACCCATTTTAGATGTTAGAACTTATTCCTTATTCAAGTTATTTTCAATCACAGTCAGGAAAGAATTAGTAAAATTACCAAGTGATTATATTTTATACTTTGAAAAGAATTATTATTGCAAAAATATCATAGAGTTAAGCAATCAGCTGTATGTTTGCACGAATACTTTCCTGTCGCCATGTCAACCACTAAGTTAGACACTTGTGAGTCTGAAAGTCTGGTAAGCTACACGCGAATCCTAGAATCAAGTAAGAACAATTATGTAATCGACACGAAGTTTTAACAAAAATTAAGGATTGTAAAGGAATCCATCATATTTATTTTACTACTGACATTATTTTAGAATGTCATACATTTATTAATGATCAAATATTAGAATTTGACTCTAATTATGAAATTGAATTAGAATTATCCTTCAGAGGTGACAACGATAAATATTCATTTAAGAAAACAAACATTTCACTCGAACCTTATTTCCAAAAAAAAATCGCACTTCACTTCAAGTTCATTTTGAAGATTTACAGTTTCATTCTACTATAAGTTACCCTGTTATTTTCAATGCTGTAATTACCCTATTGGTTTTATTTATTACAATTTTTGTTAGATACCGTTATGTAAATGATACTAAAACTCCACCTCAAAGTAGTAATATTTAAGAAACTTCTCCTTAAAATTAAGAGTTCAAATCATTTTTTGAGATTGGAGACCAATCTTTCCGAGGAGGGAGGAGTTATGGAATCCTGATGATTACCATTTCAACCGTACGGCTAACACCGTCCCGATGCCCTTTTGATTAACGTCGTCCATCCAGTTTCTTGTTACAGCTTTAGGTGTTATCTTCGTGAGAACATTACCGACTTTGCATTTTGCTATGTTTTATTTCTTATAAACTGAATATGGAATGTAATTAGCGTTGTTGTCATCCTGTTTTCAACCAATAATGTTCCTGCAATAGTTTCGAACCGAAACCACACTGAGTTTCATTTCTTGTACGGTCACGTGCGTGATGTGCGGTCTCGGTACGCAATCGGTTTTTACTTTGATAATTGTTCTCGTACTTCTATTTTCTCATAGAAAGATACTTGCATGTGATCAATAACAAATTACTTCATGATCCTGTGAAATGGTTGGAATAGCTGGAAAATTTACACCAAAGAAATACATTTTAAGCTCTCTAGAACGAAATCTCAGAACAAAGTGGAGAATCAAATAAAAAATGTAGGCTGTTGCAACTGTTGACAGCTGTCAAAGTGGAGCTTGAGATCTTAGCTAGTATTGAATGGGGGCGAAGTGCATAGAGGGGAGAACTAAATCGATCGCGGTTCACATGCTGAACAGGACTCCTCCTAGTGGAATATAGGGCTAGTCCCTATGGTGATCAATGTGTCATGTGGATTAGTACAATTGTAGTCACTGTTCTTGGCGGGTCAAAGTAAGACTACCAGTATCCCTTTATAAATCTCTATCTCCCTCATACATACACATGCAACCTACCAACGTTTGTTCGGTAAGCTCAAAGACATACGTTTTTTAGTTGAGTGTCTCCGTCTCGAACACTTTGTCGTTACGTATGAACGCCCTTCAATCATATTTCTCAGAGTGACAACTTACTTGACATCGGCATGCAATTCGAGTTGTCCTATTATCAATCTTCAATATAAAATTGTACAACGCCGGGAAATACGATCAATGGACAAATCCGACAGCCCGTGCTAAATTTACTAGAGTTTCCAGGAAAGGAATGAAAACAGCGGTCCCCTGTTACTCACTTCATGCGTACTGGAGAGAGTAGAAGTTGCGCTAAAGATTAGTCTTCGAAGTGTACCGCCCTTGGTACGGAGACTCGATCTGCTTACTTATTTCATATGGCATGGTGTAGGAATGGTCTCGGTGGACAACGAACGAAAGCTGAACAACTCTACCGCATTCAGAGAAATAAGCAAGCGCAAGGTGCTATCTATTACTAAAACCGATAACTGCGAAAGTAAAAACATCAAGCTAAGCCAGCTAGTTTTCGCTGGGGTCACATTTGATGAATACACCCGTTAATTTGGATTTTTGCTGGAATTAATGATTTTTTTTAGGAGTTCTTGAGAAAACTATGACTTTCTCAATTGATATTGCAAATAATTATATGCGTCCAGCAAAAGTGGTGGCTGTGACAGCTTCAGTGTATTATAACATTTTCGTTGCACTAGCTATACGCGACGCCTTTATAGTCGACAGTTGGAGAAGTATGGAGGATGAAATATTGACAATGCTTACGCTTGAGCAAGTAAGTATTTCACTAGAAAATTAATGTGACCAAGCAAACCAGGTTTCAATGAGCATGTAAAATACAGACTGATCTGTTACAGCATTTTTGCTAGCCGATAACAAATCTGTGCAAATTGGGACACGACAGAAATTGACAAATTTACGATAAAAATATCTTGCAAAACCAGAAGAATAAGTCGCAATGTGGCTGGCTCACTGCAGCATATATCGGATGTCAAATTCGACTCTCTCCATTGGGATCACGGAAACGGTAAGACATACAAAGTTGCTTTCCAGTCTTCTCAACACGGCGGTTATTTTTTCTTACATAATTTGAGATCAGATTTAAAAGAAAAGCAACGGTGACCGTACTACTCTTTATCCTTTAGAAGATGGCATATTTAAGATTTCAATATGACGTTTTGTCTCTTTGTTTCAAACATCAACTTTATCTGTTTAACCTTCCATTACTCGCAGCCAAATTTAGTACATAAGTTCTCGCGCACGGTCTAGAATTCTGGGCCGAGTTTTTTTTGCTTCTGAGTCAGTAATTATATTTTTTTCAGTATTTTTTGTTTATTGTTCTTTCTTTATCAATTACATTAATTAAGTAACACAAAGAGTTTTTAAATAATTTTATTGGTAAGAAAATATACATTAAGCAGCGACACTTTTTTCCTCACATGGGTTTTTTAAAATTGAAATATTAAATCATAAATAAGGGTACAACTAAATAACAAAAAGATAACTGAATTTCTCAGACATAATATTATAACCATTAAAAACATATCTGGTTCTTTATTTCAGAAATATTGGTAGGCTTAGCGCCCTTGTCCCTGTTGAAATTGAGTGCAATGCCTTCAATTTTTATATTGGTACAATTGGTAACCATATTGAGCATTTCTTCCTCAAACAAGCATTCCCAGATCTCTTGAGCAGATGTTTTAGATTTTGCACAATTTTTTACATCTGGTGATTGTGGAACATTTTTATAACTACGCTTTCTGACGTTTCTAGGTGGACAATGTTTCTTCCATTTTGTTATTTTGTCCTTTTCTACGAAACACTGTTCACGCTGGAGTAGGTTAAGGTCGTAATTTTCCAGTGCCTCATTAAATACCTGCTCGCTGTCACTATCTGATCTTTCCTCAACGTTGTCAACTTCATCTTGTTCGTCATCGTCATCATTGCCGTGATTTTCGTCGTCAGTTTGGAGTTCAAGTTTCAACAATCTTGCTTGTCCTTTTTTTGTTACTCATGTCTACAATAGGTTCATGATATAAATACCAACAGAAACTAGCAAAAAGAAGTTCAAACTTACCTAATATAACTTATCAACACCCAAAAAAAAATAATAACACGAATACTCGCACCGGGTCTATTCGACCGTGTTCGTCAACAATTTTCAATAGACACCACCTACAGAACACCCGCTGTTTGAGACACTAACTGCCCTCTTAATAGAAAGGTACATGGACGGAGCAAACCGTATCCCCCCTGCTCCTAGAGATATGCGTTAATTCGTTACGGGTTGGTCTTCTACACCGTGTGCGAGTACTGGAAGGTTAAGGGCAACATATTGGATTTGAGTTTTTAATTTGGATTCAAAAAACGTGTAGTATGTACGAGTATATTGGCTTTGCCATGTTTTAGTTATTCTGAAAAAAATACTTATTTTCCTGTGGCTATGAAATTGTCAGATTTGTATCGGATTATCAGCCGAGCATTGCTCCAGTTTGCATGAACTCGGCATAGGACGTTGATTGACCCTCATTATATGGATATTGGAAACTGTAAGACATACGGATTCGTTTTTATGGGGGAAAAGTTGCGTGTTCAGAAAATCAACAAAATGCCGCATAGAAAGTTTCGAAATCCAATGAACTTCCGGGTAGGGACGGAAAAATCGAATTTTCCCAAAATCGTTTTAGTTTTTCCTAAATTTATTTGTAGTGATATTTCAAAACAAATTGCACATTAACGTTACCACTTTTGTCTTCTCTACAAGACGGCTCTTAGGCAGATGGATAGAATTTTCAATTCTGATTCCAAGAATGTATAATACGTCGTGCACTGATGTTGCCAAACATTGGTTATTTCAAAAAACCAGAATTTCCTAGGAGGCCTTGAAACTATCAGATTTTATTTGTTTTGTATACCAGGACAAACCTCAAATTGAACATATCAACAGTGTTTGGAAGACTGAGAAGAAGGAAAATAAATCGATCAATCAATCGATGAACAATGTGCAGAGACGAGTCAGGCTTTGCATACAAAATAACGAACAACATTTTGAACATCTGCTACGATTTACTTCTTACTCATGATTATTATTGTTATAACCATTAATTTAATTTTTATTTCCTTATAATTTTCATTCAACCACAAATTTATGGCAAACTAGGCAAATTCATCACTAAATTCTAATATCCATTCAAAAACAAGGTTAGTGGTGGAATTCAAAAGCAGAAATGTCGAATTGTAAATTTAACTTCGCTACCTTATAGAGGAGAAAAAGTTTATAATCCCGTCTCGAATAAGGCCAGCAAAAAATAAAAGTGATTTTCGCATAAATCTGGTATCCGAACCAAATGGCTATCTGATGACTTCAATGCTTACAAAGGAAATTCTTTTCTTTTTAAATAATTTTTGTTTAGAATTAAAAACTATATTCTCCTGTTCAAAATGTCATATTGAAATCTCAATTATTCCTTTTTGTACAGGAGAAAAAGTGACAATGCTAATGTGCAATTTATTTTGAAATCCCACTACAAATAAAGTTAGGAAAGCGTTAAAACGATTCTGGGAAAATTCTGTTGTTTCGTCTGTCTCCGGAAGTACTTTGAATCTCGAAACTTTCTAAGCAATACTTTGTTGACTACTCAAATACGCAACTTTGTTCCCCTTTTAAGCGACTTCGTATCTCTTACTGACAAGAACATTTTAGAGTAAATACATGATGTTGCAGCTTCCTAATCACATTCTGCTATATCTTAACCAAAACAAACACCTTGCGTTCTTATGCTTCAATCTACTGCTGAGGTGAAATGTAGATCGCCTCCATCGACCTAAAATAATGCTTGCTATAGTCGATAAATGGACAAATTATCTAAATGTCAATGAAACACGATTTTGAATAAACTGTATCATCCAGAGTGTCACTCTGTCAGTTACCTAGATACACAACGTTGTCCTCATTTAAGCGATTCCGTAGCTCTGACAAGCCCTCAATAGTGAGAGTCGAATTTGAAACACCCTGTATAGTCCGGCAGCTTCCAGTGCATGCTAGCTGGTGCCGCGTCATCCCGATACATCCTTTCGCCGATAACGAGATAAAAATGCTCCCTCAGGTATCAAAGAGCATGATGAGGGAACGCGTGGCGTGATGCATCGGTATGCCATGGCATCCACCGGGATGCACCGAAATCTTCTAAGACGCTGAATTGGGGGAGGGTCCGATACCGAAGACGAAAATCCTTCTTCAAGTATCAAAGGGCATGCTGTCGCAGAACGTGCTGGGATGGGTCGGTCACGGCATCTACCGGGATGCACCGAAATCTCCTAAGCTATAGATGCTGCGGTAACTGAATGTGTGCGATGAAATTTTAACTATTGCCGACGTCCCTCACCGCGATACGGAAAGCCATGCTCTCCGATACCTAGAGACGAAAATCCTTTCTCGGACATCGAACGGCTTGCTAGGTGATGGACGCTGTTATAAGCAGAAAGTATACGACGAAATAACAGATTCCCCAGCCATCCCCTGGTGTGTCCAAGCGTTTAAAATAAAAAAAAAATGGCGTCAAGTAGTTGAATCAGCACTTTCCATGCGGGTAGCCACTCTTAGGAAATAGGCAACTACGAACTTGTCGTGACAAAGGAATAAGATGTATGTCAGTCAAATAGGTATCTGCAATTAGTCCTCAGCCTCCACTTATTTGACAACGTTACGACCTAGAGATCTATTATCTTCCTTCAACCATCCGACAATGCAACCTTGCGATCAAGGTTGATATGGGTGAACCGCCAGCGGCAGCAGATAGTCGCTGACCGGTTTATTTTCGTTGTGCTCGTCGCGGGTATCGAAAGAATCATTTGTAAGTCTAAGAGCAAATAAGTACAAGGGAAAATCTTTGTATAAAGTATGTGTAATGTTCGCGGGATTACAAGCGTACAAATATTAACACAATCAAACTGAGATATCTATGCCTATTCCCACCCTCAGTTTGAGCTATCTCTTTTTGTTATTTTTTGCCTGTCGCCCAGCTGCCTCTGGATCGGATTTCAAGCCTAATGCGTCAAGAATTAGCGGGCAGACAGACCAATAGACCCACAGTCAGACAGACCGATGGAAATTAGTGACGTGGAGAATAGACGTTATAGGGAGGGTATTTCTTAAAATTACTTATCCGCATTGTATCGATCCAGTTTTAAGTATTATAGAGAAGCCACGTCAGCAAAATTTTGTTGAGGGTACAATGGTTATATTATAATCAATGTTTTATGTTTCTGTAGAGCTGCATATCGTTGATCCTGTTTGTGGTACTGTTAGAAACGTACTTAAAAATAGAAGCCAAGTGTCGTGCAAACTTCCGTGCAGTGAGAACGGCCAATCCTGATACAGAAAGAAGACTGACTGGGCTAAGTGCAAAATACAACTTTCAGTTCCTTTCCATAGCATTTTTGACTTTCCTGATGCATTATGTCCTAGTAACTCCTGTGTTTGGTGAGCGAGAAGACATGTTTTACAGGTATGTACAACTTCCACTTAGGTAGCTTTCGATCAGCTTTGGTCTATGCGGACTTTCACCCTATGTCCTTTCAGAAAAGCTTTGGAAGTAGGTGGCTGACCCTCTCTGGTCGCAAGATAACTGACGGGTTATTTTTTTTATTTCACAGTGTCAAGGTGGCTGTTCCGATGGGTTCGGTCTTGACTCCAATATTGTTTATGTTACTTATTACCTGCCAATCAACACCTTTGCTGATAATGGCATTTTACTTGTTAGGCCGATCTCCGTTGATGTAAATTGACTAACAATAAGCGCAGTAGCATATATCCGGTTTCGATGGATAGCCGAGTTCTACCAAAGAGCCGTTCATTTCGGCCAAGTTCTCTCTCTCGAAAAAGTTTGGATTATTTATTTAGAGCTACCCTCTACCTTTCTCACACATCAACACCTAAGTTTGTAAAAGATAAAGATAAGACCCAGTCGGCAGTAGTGGTTACATCTTTGGGGTGTGGTCGCTCCGACTACCCTGTCCATACTCGATGCTGTTCAGAAGAAGGCTGTTGGACTGATTACGGCTGTGCCAGCGGAATTTCCTTCTCAGATCTCTCCTCTATGCTGTCATCGCACATTGAGCCTGCTAGATGGAACCGCCAGTCATCTGCTTCCAACAAATTTGGAGTAGCCCTACTGAGCGGGGCCATGGCAAATGCTTGTGCCGGAAGTTGTTGTACTAGTATACAACTTCTTCCCAATCAAGTGATCGTATACGCGTTGAGGCATACCTTAGTACCGATTGACGGGCGGCGGTACAAGTCCGTCAACATGCCACTTTAGGTCTATTTGACATCATTAACACTCAAAATGGAGGTGGGAGACAAGGACCAGTCGACCGAGGCGTTACCACCCGCTAGTTTTCTCCAGTGTTTTAACGCAGTCGGATACTTTCCCCAACAAAGAAATTAATGATGATGGATCCATCGAGTACTCAGAATTTCGCACGGAAGCTTACTCTACTCTCGGAATGTCCAAGTGAAGGGTGGACTTGGGGGAACAACATCGATAATAAAATTTTTTTCAAGAATATCTGTGGGATCAGCAGCAGCATTGATGCTGTTCATCACTACCTGCAATCCAATCGTGACGCCACGCTTTTCTTGGCGGAGTAAAAAATACCAGAGTCTGCACCGATTACCTATCTTAGCCTCCCGAATTGCGATGTGCACTCTAGTCTGAGAAAGTACGGGGAGTTGTGACTTTTGTCAACAGCAGCATTTGCTACTCTAGAGACGCTTATTTCCTCAACATTAGACTATTACCTGGACAGTTACGCGGTAGTTTTGCCTTATTTCATTTCACTTGTTGTTTCATCGAATGCGCAGTCTCAGGTTTAATATAATTAAAATTAAAAAATCTAAAATATTGCACAGAAACCAATTTCTTTGAAGGATACTGAATTGGCTAATCGAAACTTCAATCAAACTCATCAAAATTTTAAATTTATCTATCTTAATT